CCGAAGTGGAAAGTGGTAAAATTTAAATTTTTTTTTTTACTGAATTTTACGTTTATTATGAAAATAAACAAACACAAATATTTTTTTTTATATGAAATCTATATTTTCTAAAACTGCTAGAAAATCAAAGCCATAAATCTTAACACTGTTCTAAATTTGAGGCTCATCTCTGTAAATGAGCGTTCAGTGAGAGTGTGTTCGGCTGCAGTACCAAACGCTTCCACTAGAGAAAACTCTCCATTCGTTTCCAATGCGTCATTTCTGATCGTGAGGAGCACAAGTGTGACTATTTTTATTTTATTTTTATTTTTTGTGTGAACCAAGTGCCAAAACCTTTACCAAGTTTCGAAACATTCTGATGAAAAATTTCGGTCTAAAAAGTACAAAGAGCACCAGATGTAATTGATAAAATAAGTTTTGTTTTCTTTCAGTTAAAGCCATTTTTTATTTTATTTTCAAGTTACGAACATTTTTAGTTTTAGTCGACTATAATAACTCTGGTTCTGGACTTCGTCTAGATCTCTTTCCAGAGAGCGCAGGAGGGAGAGATCGCTGTCCCGCGACAGGAACCACAAGCCATCGCGATCTTTCTCACGATCGAGGAGGTAAGAGTTTCAGTACTTTATCTCGTCCGGCCAGGATTGACGTCCGGCTCACATCTTTATTTATTTTTTCCGTTTACAGTCGTTCCAGATCTAATGACCGGAAATGAACCACGACACAGAGAAAAACGTCGTGACGGGAAATCGTCGATCAAAAACTTTGAAAAGACTTTATTGCTCAGAGTCCCCCATTTATTTTGTTTTTTTTTATGAACATTATTTTAGCGGTTCTGTTTCCTTCTGTAGCTGCAGTTTTAATGCGACGGCATTCCATCTCACACTTTTAAGACTTATTTGTGTTTTTGCCGGTGAATGTGATTGGTCCTGCTGCGATGAGCTCATTTCCTGTCGCCTGAGCTCGACCGCTAGCGTTTTGCTTTGTGTTTGTGTGCGATCAGAGGGGGAAGATGTAACGACACTGTGTCGCCAGCAGGGGGTGGAATGAAGAACAGCTTTCATTCTCGTTTGTTTTTTTCCTTGTAGTGTTTGTACTGTTTATAATGTTGATTTGAATTAAAACTCATTACAAAAAATATCCTGTCTCTTTGTGAATTTTTACAATATTGTATGTGTATTAAATTTAAAAATGGACCATTTTAAAGGGTTATCTGAATTTAAAGTCCCTCTGTAATCAATTTGATCCCTTTGACAAAAAAAAGACTTATTCAAGGAAAAAACATTTAATTAAGTCTTCATGTCTTAAAATATCTTGAATGTAACTCGACACCCTTGCCTCATTTAGTATGTGCGGCTCTATGAATATGCAGATGAGCCCCGCCTCCACTCACTCAGCTCAGAGATCCACTGGTTGACGATCACACGTTGATCTGATTGGTTACAAGGTCGTTTGTGACGTCAGAAACACCAGCGATTTCAAACCGTGTTTTTGAGACTGTCTTTGGTTCACTGCAGTTTTATACTAGTATTTTCGTCAGAAAATACTCAGCAATGCTGTCGACTTATGAACTTACACATGGTTTGAGTTAAAGCGTATTAAAAACACCACATAGACACATAAACAACATTAAAAGCTGGATTCTCACTGCAGGGGGACTTTAAATCAAATGTTTATTTGTGAAGTGTTAATTTACTCAGATTTTAGAACAGTTCATACCGGTTTAATCAAGATGTTAATGCATAAGCTTTCATTTACAGCATTTATTATCTTTGCAAATGTTAGATAATAAAAACATAAATGTCCCTTGTTTGTTCGTGTGATTAATTTAATTTGTTTAAAGATACAACCTGTGCTTTTAATTTTTTTTTGTAAATGTAGAAATTTAGATTGCTATAGTATTTTACTAATGAATAACCTTATTGAAAGTTTTACCACAAAAGTCTTTGCATTAAATTAAGTAGTCTCAACATTAAAAGTAGAAATATAATAAAGGGAGACATGTTCTCATATGCTTAAATGTAATTAAAATAGGTACCGGTCATGTGATGTGTATGGGTATATGTGCAGTGTGCTGCAGTACCAGCAGGGGGCGACCATCAACTTTAACTCTACATTGACTCTAATCTGGATTGCTCCAAAGTCTGTTTATTGTCAACTAGAGCCTCTACGATGGATATATATTTAAAGCATTGTTCTTAGTGTTCCTCTGTGAATTAGCACATTTCATTACAGCTGGGTTAATATTAAAACTGTTCAACAGCATCATTCTGGGTTATTTGAGCCCAGGGGTTTTCTGGGTAATTTGAACTGGGGTCTGGGGGCCACAAGAGAGAGCTAGGGAGTCTAAACATTTTACAAAAATCAGTAAAAATAAGATTAAACTAATTTACAAATACATTTGATTAAAGAAAAAAAGCAAATAAATAAATTAGAAAAATGATAAATTATTAAATAAAATTGTTTAAATAAAAAATACATAAAAATGAATTATTAAAATAAATACCATTTGTTTTAAAAAATACATTAAGTAAAACTAATTTAAAATACGAAAAGCAGTGGGGAAAATGTGAAAACATAAAAATAAGATTAAACTGTAATTAATCCCATTGATTAAACATGAAATTTGATTTAAATAAAATAATTTAATAAAATACACCTAACAGTACAGCGAGTAGAAAAACGCTATGGTGTTATGTAATAGAAACTAAATATTTTTACACATTTATTATATTATTTTTTCACAGTATTAATTGTCAATACATAAAAATATTAAAATGCATGAAAAAGAGCAGATGGGTTGTGGTTTGATGGGGTGTAGTAATGAATAAAAAAAAATCTGGCCGATTTAAATCCCCCATTCACGCTTCTGCTACATGACGTCACGATTCAGACCAAACAAACGGCAGTCATAATTCTATCTTTCATAAGATCACTAACCACAACTTAGATAACCTCTTACTTAAGCTTGACTTCAGTGTGGTGACTGACTGTCAAAAGCCTTGAAGTGTCCAAATGTTTTTGTAAACGCTGACAGAGAATGAGTTATGATGGATTATCGTTCATTCTACTCAGACATTCGCTAGTTTACAGACCAATAACCGTTTACTTTTCCCACCATTTTAAATCACTTTTAGCAGTTCACTCGGTATTCTTCTGGTTTGACAAATTAATTTCTAAAAGTACAAATATTCCACGGGTGTTTTTTTTTTTTCAATTAATACGAGCTCATAAGGCTGCATGTATGAAGTTTGGATTCAGTCATACTAATAATATATCACAGAGCGAGGAGAGGTTCTTTCTGATGAATGAACAGAAACTCAAACTTACCCGCCCTTTCCCTCGCTTTACTCACGTTCCGATGAGTCACGTGTCGGGTGACTCACTGATTTTTTCCCCGCGGCTTCCTCGCGCTGTGGAATGGGATAACCGTCATGTCTCGTCTGACTCCCGCCAAACCGCCAACACTAATGAAGAGCGGCCATTAATTAAACTAAAGAATGGCTTTTCCTGCTGATTGTCGTGGGAAGGATGGACTTCATTACTTGGTCGGTCTCATTAGTGAACAAACTGTGACTGACTGACTGACTGATTTTATTTCGTGCTGTTGTGTTTATTGGCACTACATTAGGGCAGTTATTGTATTAATTATTTTATTCTGGATTAAATATTACTATGTTTTATATGGAATAAATAGATTTGGAAAAAAATGACTTCCTTTGTGATCGTCTTTAATTAATTAACTCATGTGCCTATAGAATCTATTTACAAAAAAAAAAAAAAAACATTTTTCAAAACATCTTATGTGTTTCACAGGCAAAGAAAGATTATTTAGTTGTTCTGTCTGCCAGTTGTTTTGCATGTTTTCTGGGGAATTTTCTCATCATTTTACTGTCAATTAGTTTTATAAATAATGACTGGGCTCATGTCTCATGTCTAGTCTCATACACAGCAAAAAAGCCAGTGTACATCTCAATTTTAGTGAAATTTAACACTCCTGAAATGTATATATGACTCCCTCCATTTTGGAGTTAAAATAACACCTTTGTAAGTGTGAAATATGCACATTTCTCATATTTTAACAAATGTACTCAGTGAGTAATGTGCATATTTCACACTTTCAAAGGTGTTATTTTAACTTTAAAATGGAGGGAATCATATTTTTTGAAGTCATACTTTTTTGTATTATTAATTTTTGTGTCTTATTTAGTATTTTTATGTCATAATTATGACTTAAGTCAGAATTCCAACTTTTTATTATTTCGATTTTTAAGTCATAATTAGCTTTTAAGTAAGAATTATAACATTTTATGTAATATTTAGACTTTTTAATTCATAATTTCTACTTTTATGTAAAATTTTGACTGTCATTCCGTCATTGTGGCTGTCAATAGAATCAAATATTGACAATTAATCTCATGGTTTTCTGTCAGTCTTTAGAAAGCAGAATTAAACGTAGTGTACAATTCTAAATGTTTGCGATTCTAAATATTTTACAAAACCCCTAGCAACTGCTTGCAAACCTCTGGGGTTTCCGTCCCTAATTACATTAATTATACATGAAACAAAAATCAAGTTTACAGGCTAAAAAACATTTTTAAAAGCACTTTTGGTGGGTTAAGAAAGCAAGTTTGGCTCAGCAGCAGCAGGGATAAAAAAACACACAAATAGATTAAAAACATTGTTTTAACAGTATAAAGTTTTCAATTATTTCTAAAAGCTCTTTTCTGTTGAAGAATAGTACTATTCTTTTCTTTCCTGCTTGCTATGTGCATGTACTTTTTTTATAGTTTAACTGCTCATGCAAGAAAGGTAAATAAACGCTTAAAACAAATAGTGCGTGTAATATATATTGGGCGGATCCACTCAGTTCGGGACCTTCTGTTCTGTGACGCAGATCCACAGGAATGTTCCCGTGAAGGCGCGTTCACGCCGCTCACGTGTTTATCGGGCACAGTCCACGTGCTGTGCTCACTCGGCCCCGCCCACAGTCTAGACACGCCCATCGGAGTTCGTAGAAGTTCAGAAAGTCCCTCCAGCACTGAAGAAGAACATCTCATACCCACTGCTACTCTCGCCAGGGTTGAGTTTCTCCACACTTCACCAGAACACACTTCTAAAGTTCAGTTTTACTCCATACTGCTGTCCAGGACACCTGAAACCTCTCCAGTTCACTCAGCAAACTGCGATTTTACAGATTTTGAACACTCGTCAGAAGCCAAAACATGTAAGTTGCTTGTTTTTCATGTCAAACAACATTGTTCAAACAACATGGACGTTTTTTATGTTTGTTTAAAGTTGTTCTCATTTATCACAAGAACGTTATACAGACTGTTAATACAACTTGTTTAAACTCTTGTCTGTTTTAAATAATAAGCCGAGTAGGCTAATATAATCATCTCAGACGAACTTTAACTGAAAACTTTTCACTTAAACTTGAATATGTAGATCAGCAGGCTCGTGATTGATTGATTTTTATCGCTGTTTGAACGTTATTGTAAAGTGAACTCATGTCACAATCGCGACCTGTTTTCTTTCCACCGGTTTACACGAGATTTGTGTTCACGTGGACCCAGAGCGCAGAGTGGGCGTGTCTGCGTCACTTCCGACCAATCAAACAAACGCTCGCCTTCCCGCCGCCGTCTTGAATTTATTTTCGTAATGAATGAACTTCATGTTCCATCACATAAACCAGTATGGACTCAATGATACGTGTTGTCATGACATCATGAATGATAGATCATATATTTTCTAAACAAAATATGAATAAAAAAATACTTAAATGTCTGGGCTGAAATCTTTGACAAATAATTTATTATACATCACAATATTAATAGATTTATTAAATTTAATATGTAATAATGTCAGATTCTGACACTTTGACGTGAACTTTGGGCTGGTTTGTCAGCCCCGTCATATTAAGAATGTCAAAAATATTATTTTATATTTATTATATTATCACAAGTATTATGCCTATTTTAGTTAAATAATAGTTAATTATTGAGTTAAATAATAATAATAAGCAATTTAAATAAAAAAATGTTAAATTCTCATGGAAAAAAAGATGGGCTAAAATCTTTGAAAAAATTCTTATGACAAAATAATTGTCTTTGTCATAATTGTCTTTTTAAGTCATAATTGTGACTTTTTTTTATGTCATAATTTCGACTTTTTGTCAATTATGATAAGTCAATTTTTGACTAGTAATATTTTCGACTTTTAAGTCATAATTTAGACTATTTATATGTATTATATTACCACAATTATCATTTTAGTTAAATAATAGTTAATGAGTTAAATAATAAAAAAAATTCTCAGAAAAAAGATGGGCTAAACTTTGAAATAAATATTAAATATAAAGTTATTGATTATTTTATTTTATATTTATTATATTGGTAGTGTTATTTTAGTGGCTTTGTGTGAATATTCATTGAATTGTATAATTAGTGAGACATCCCTCATGTATGATGGAAATATAAAGTGTTTTATTTGCTTGTATATGTATATGATGTGTATTGAAAGCTAATGGTGTAGTTCAGTAAGATGGCGGCCCTCTGCTGGCCAGACGCGCTCACTGCAGTTAGAGGAACATGTCCACACATGTCTCTGCAACTCATGACTCAAAGCAGCCTTTAAAAGCTGATCTCCGAACAGCAGAAACACTCACACGTGAGGAGACGAGTCAGACATTACAAGGTTTGCAGGATAAATCACGGGTTGTGGGTTCAAGTCCTCCTGGGAAGTTCGTGTTTACGTGCGTTCAAATCACTTTCGTCGGAGTAAGATGGCGGTGTACTTTCTCTTAATTAATTACACAAAAATACAGCAAGGTTTTTAGAAAATGAATAGCAAAGAAATGTGCAATATTATGTGATCTGCTTTTTTTATGTTTTAAATTAATTTATGAAGCCACTGCAAACTTTGTTGCATATTACATTGGTAAATTATAATGCCATCATATTCTGTGCAGGCGTTTAGCTTTGCTGTAAGTAGAAAAGCCTGACAATATCACTGCTAAATGCCTGCATGTACTGTGTTATCGACAACTCGTAAATATGGGGGCTTAAAGAAAATCCCGAGCTTCCCACTCATATTTACGACATTGTGGTGTCGTTCAACTCGTAAACACGCTCTTTACGAGATGACTTGAACGCACCACGTGATGTTTAGAGACGGTTGGTTTCCTCACTAGTAACCGTCACTCTCGTGTCTTTTGCTTCAGAAAATGGCGCACAAGCCGATCCTTCGAGCCCTCGGAACCGGGCCGACGAGAAGAAACCTGTTCGGTCCGGTGGATCGCGAGCAGCTCCAGCGCGAGTATCGCGACGCGCTGAGGAAAGACCTGGAGGACGCGTCGCGTCGCTGGAGCTTCGACTTCGTTGCGGAGAAGCCGTTGGAGGGCGGAGACTTCCGCTGGGTGGGCGTGTCCGGCGTGCGCGTGCCCGTGCTGTACCGGAGCTGCGAGGACGCACGGAACCCCGCTGGATCACCGGGAAAAGAGAACAGATTCGGTTCGGTTCCGCAGGACGTGGAGAAAACGCCGGAAAAGAGAGCAGAGATGAAGAGGAAACAGACGAACATCACAGGTGAGAGATATAACGTACTATTTATCTCATGTTTTGGATCGGTAAGATTTTGAATGTTTTAAAAAGAAAAACACCAAGGCTGCATTTATTAGATAATAAAAAAAAAACAGTAATATTGTGAAATATTAGAATTTAGAACGGCGGTTTTCTATGTGAATATATAGTAGTGTAATTTATTTCTGTGATCAAAGATTATTATTATTTTAGCATCATTACTTTGTTTTGATCCAGTCTTCAGTGTCACATGTTCCTTCAGAAATCACTCTAATACGCGGATCTGATTAAATTCTTATTATCAATGTTGAAAACAGTTGTGTACAATTTTTTTTCCCAGGATTCTTAATAAAAAATAAAATAATTTCTTACTGACTCCAAACTTTTGAACAGTAGTGTTTAATGTTACAAAAGATTTCTATTTCAAATAAATGCCATATATTCATCAAAGAATCCTGAAATAAAAATGTACACAACTGTTTTCAACATTGATAATAATCATAAAATAAATCTTGAGCATCAAATCATCATATTAGAGTGATTTCTGAAGGATCATGTGACACCGAAGACTGGAGTAATGATGCTGAAAATAACAGGAATAAATTACATTTTAAAATAAAAAAGTTATATTAAATTGTCATAATATTTAACAAAATTACATTGTGGTATTTTTAATCAAATAAATTTAGCCTCGGTGAGCAGAAGAGACTTCTTTTAAAAACATTAAAAATTCTTAAAGATCAAAAACTTTTGAATGGAAGTGTATATATATATATATATATATATATAAACTTGAATTATCATGAGAGCAATCCTAATGGTTAATGTAGGAGTAAAATGCTGAGTAATAATGATGGTGTGAATGACAGTCTGACTAATAATAGACGCTTTCTTTTATCCGAACAGACTTCTACCAGGCAAAGAAGAGGCAAGTGGCCACGCCCCGCAAATCAGGACAATAACACACTCAGGACCTGTGTGTGAGTGTGTGTGTGTGTCGTGCCTGGACTCATATCCTCATACGTGTAAAGACATTCAATAACTGACGTGAACTCAGTGGATCTTCTGTTTTTCTACACCGTCATCTACCTTCATAGTGGAACCTGTTCCAGATCTCTTCGTTTTCTGTCTTCATCATGTGTTATTCAGGAACAGGAATCTGTCATTCCTCTTTGAGCACTTCCTGTTTATATGTTTGCATTTCAACATTTACCTGAAAAGTCCCTTTAAATTCGATGTGTGGAGGAAAGATTCGAATCATCCATGAATGAATCTTTCAGAATCACGAAATTGCGAAAAGGGTTTCATTACGAACAATGACATATTATAAAACACTGATTTTTTTCAGTGTGCACATATTCAAATGTATTGCTTTATTGCACAAAACATGTTGCTAAGTAACTTTAAAAACTGCTATTTTTAAATGTTTGGTGCCAATTTGTTTTTTGACACATAAAACTTATTGTTATTATAAACGAAAACCTCAATTAAGCTGCCAGTATGTTCTCACACACATTCTCGTAACTGAGCTGCGATTATGTTATTGCAATGTAATTTTATTTACAAACACTTGGTGTCGTTTGCGAAACACGAGCAGAATCGCCGTAGTTTTTTCATACGTTAATTCGTACATCATGTTGCGTTAAATTTAGTGTGGAAATTAACGTACAAATGTTTTACACAGACATTTGTTCCAGGGTTATTTTTGTTAACTTTAACTAAAACTGTTAAAAACATTTCTGTTAATTGAAATAAAGTTAAAATAAATAATACATTTTAGTTGGAAAACTGTTTTTATTTAGAACATTAACATTAGAAATGTTGCTTTTCGCAATAAACTGAAATAAGTTTAAGTGCTAAAAATATTAACTGGAAATAAATAAAAACTCAAATATTAATATTTTTTAATATTTATTCAAGTATTAATATTTATATATATATATATTATGTATGTAGTACAATGACACAAGCACATAACGAATTTTTTTTTCTATAATTAACATGAAAGTATATTATTCAATATATTATTAAAACTAAAACAATAGCGATTTGTTCTGCTCGTGTTTTGTGAAACGACTTCTGAAACTACAGTATATTTACAAACACTCTCAGTTTTCCTGTTGTCATAGAAATACAAGTGACGTCGAGCGATAACTAAATAAAATTAACGAGAAATGTGAACGCCAGACTTTAAACATTGAGTAATTAAGATAAAAAGCTTTATTCTGTTTAAGTTCTGAATTCCGGCAAACGTTCATTAAATCTGTTCTAGCTCTCCTCTGATCCAACTTGTGGATTTCTGCGACCCGTCTGTAAATATTCTGTTAATATCCGGATTATTCGCTGTTGATTCCGAATTGCACTTGTTGTTTTGTGTAGTGTTGTGTAGCGTTATTGTTAAAGAGCTCTGAATATATGCCATATTTATTTTACTGATGAATGTTATATTGTAGATTGACATGTAATTGTTCTTTAAATAAAACTTTATGAATAGAAACTCTGGTGTACGATTTGATTTGTACGAATAAATCACTACTTAAAATATTCATGCTGTTGATTGTAAATGTGTTTTTAGTGCTGTGAAGCGTTTTGAGGTAAACCATTTTCCTAGGTGGATGAACTTCTGGTGTTGCTCGTGTAAACCGGCCCTTGCTCTGGATTGGTGAGTGAATCCATCATATCAGTCTCATGTTAACAAGGTACGTTTGAAGTCGACATGAAATTGTATTTAACTTCCATCATGTGGTATATTTCCAAATACAGGTTATTCAATGAGTATCTCAATCTTAATGCTTTTTCTTTTTAAATATACTGTCATTTGTACAGAGACCCTAAAGGGACATGGTGATGGAAAAAATATATTTCAATGCTTTTGTGTTTGTCATGTTCTTTGTGTGCGAACGCAAACTTTCTCGAGGGAACTCAAGTTTCACAAGGGAATGCAAAAGTGTAACAAACGAACGCAAAAGTGTAACAAACGAACGCAAAAGTGTAACAAACGAACGCGAAAGTGTAACAAACGAACGCAAACGTGTAACAAACGAACGCAAACGTGTAACAAACGAACGCAAAAGTGTAACAAACGAATGCAAAAGCGTAACAAACGAACGCAAAAGTGTTACAAACGAACACAAAAGTGTTACAAACGAATGCAAAAGTTTTACGAACGCAAAGTTTCTCAGGTGACGCAAAATAGTAACAAACAAACGCAAAAGTGTTACAAATCGAACAGTTTCTCAGGGAACGCAAAAGTGTAACAAACGAACGCAAAAGTGTTACAAACGAACACAAAAGTGTTACAAACGAATGCAAAAGTTTTACGAACGCAAAGTTTCTCAGGTGACGCAAAATTGTAGCAAACAAACGCAAAAGTGTTACAAATCGAACAGTTTCTCAGGGAACACAAAAGTGTTCCAAGCTAACACAAAGGTGTTGCAAACGAACACAGTTTCTCAGAGAACGCAAAAGTGTTCCAAGCTAACGCAAAGGTGTTGCAAACGAACACAGTTTCTCAGAGAACGCAAAAGTGTTCCAAGCTAACGCAAAGGTGTTGCAAACGAACACAGTTTCTCAGGGAACGCAAAAGTGTTCCAAGCTAACGCAAAGGTGTTGCAAACGAACGCAGTTTCTCAGGGAACGCAAAAGTGTTCCAAGCTAACGCAAAGGTGTTGCAAACGAACACAGTTTCTCAGGGAACGCAAAAGTGTTCCAAGCTAACGCAAAGGTGTTGCAAACGAACACAGTTTCTCAGGGAATGCAAAAGTGTTACAAAACGAACACAGTTTCTCAGAAAACGCAAAATTGTTACAAGCTAACGCAAAGGTGTTACAAACTAACACTGTTTTTCATGGAACGCAAAAGTATTACAAAACGAACGCAGTTTCTCAGGGAACACAAAAGTGTTCCAAGCTAACGCAAAAGTGTTCCAAGCTAAGCTAACGCAAAAGTGTTCCAAGCTAATGCAAAAGTGTTACAAACGAACGCAAAGGTGTTGCAAACGAACACAGTTTCTCAGGGAACGCAAAAGTGTTACAAAACGAACACAGTTTCTCAGAAAACGCAAAAGTGTTACAAGCTAACGCAAAGGTGTTACAATCTAACGCAAAAGTGTTCCAAGCTAACGCAAAAGTGTTCCAAGCTAACGCAAAAGTGTTACAAGCTAACGCAAAGGTGTTGCAAACGAACACAGTTTCTCAGGGAACGCAAAAGTGTTACAAAACGAACACAGTTTCTCAGAAAACGCAAAAGTGTTACAAGCTAACGCAAAGGTGTTACAAACGAACACGGTTTTTCATGGAACGCAAAAGTGTTACAAAACGAACGCAGTTTCTCAGGGAACACAAAAGTGTTACAATCTAACGCAAAGGTGTTACAAACTAACACTGTTTTTCATGGAACGCAAAAGTATTACAAAACGAACGCAGTTTCTCAGGGAACACAAAAGTGTTACAATCTAACGCAAAGGTGTTACAAACGAACACAGTTTTTCATGGAACGCAAAAGTATTACAAAACGAACGCAGTTTCTCAGGGAACACAAAAGTGTTACAAGCTAACGCAAAGGTGTTACAAACGAACGCAGTTTCTCAGAACGCAAAAGTGTTACAAGCTTACGCAAAGGTGTTACAAACGAACGCAGTTTCTCAGAACGCAAAAGTGTTCCAAGCTAACGCAAAAGTGTTACAAACGAACGCAGTTTCTCAGAGAACGCAAAAGTGTTACAAGCTAACGCAAAGGTGTTGCAAACGAACACAGTTTCTCAGGGAACGCAAAAGTGTTACAAAACGAACACAGTTTCTCAGAAAACGCAAAAGTGTTACAAGCTAACGCAAAGGTGTTACAAACAAACACGGTTTTTCATGGAACGCAAAAGTATTACAAAACGAACGCAGTTTCTCAGGGAACACAAAAGTGTTACAAGCTAACGCAAAGGTGTTACACGAACGCAAAAGAGTAACAAACGAACGCAAAAGTGTAACAAACGAACGCAAAAGTGTTACAAACGAACACAAAAGTGTTACAAACGAATGCAAAAGTTTTACGAACGCAAAGTTTCTCAGGTGACGCAAAATTTTAACAAACAAACGCAAAAGTGTTACAAAACGAACACAGTTTCTCAGAGAACGCAAAAGTGTTCCAAGCTAACGCAAAGGTGTTGCAAACGAACACAGTTTCTCAGGGAACGCAAAAGTGTTCCAAGCTAACGCAAAGGTGTTGCAAACGAACACAGTTTCTCAGGGAACGCAAAAGTGTTCCAAGCTAACGCAAAGGTGTTGCAAACGAACACAGTTTCTCAGGGAACGCAAAAGTGTTCCAAGCTAACGCAAAGGTGTTACAAACGAACACAGTTTTTCATGGAACGCAAAAGTATTACAAACGAACACAGTTTCTCAGGGAACGCAAAAGTGTTACAAGCTAACGCAAAGGTGTTACAAACGAACACAGTTTCTCAGGGAACGCAAAAGTGTTACAAGCTAACGCAAAGGTGTTACAAAAGACCGCAAAGTTTCTCAAGGGAATGCAAAAGTTTTGAGTACGAATGCAATTTTTCACTCCCATCTCATTATTGTTCCTTCACCATACACCTTTAGGGCCACCGTACATTTGCTTTAGTGCAGTTTAATTATATTACCGTTAACTACCATTAAATTGCGTTAATTATTAGCTAGACTTTAAAAAGTGACCTAAAAATGCCAACATACAGTAGATATTTGACTATTAGTTAAAATTAACCAAATGCGAAAAGAAGGCGGAGCAAGTTAAGAGTGTGCTGAAATGTATGTGTTTTGTTAGAATAACGTGGAACATTAAATTAAAAACTGCATTTCATTTAAGAAATATTGAAATTTCATGTTGACTACAGTATAAGCTTGCTTCCACCACAAAATAAAAAAAGGTAATTGGGTATTTTCATTTCACAATTCTGACTTTTTTCCCCCGAAATTGTGAGTAATAAACTCTGAATTGCGAGAAAAAAGACGAAATTGTAAGAATTATTTTAATCCCCTGGCGGAAACTTTTAAAACCGTGTGTTAGTTGCGTATTTTAAGATAGATCCATGTGTTAGTTGCGTATTTTAAGATAGATCCATGTGTTAGTTGCGTATTTTAAGATAGATCCGTGTGTTAGTTGCGTATTTTAAGATAGATCCGTGTGTTAGTTGCGTATTTTAAGATAGATCCATGTGTTAGTTGCGTATTTTAAGATAGATCCGTGTGTTAGTTGCGTATTTTAAGATAGATCCATGTGTTAGTTGCGTATTTTAAGATAGATCCATGTGTTAGTTGCGTATTTTAAGATAGATCCATGTGTTAGTTGCGTATTTTAAGCAGAGGCGGACAGAGAACAGAGCTTTGTTACTTGAGTAAAAGTACAGATACCCTTTGCTAAATTTTACTCAAGTACAAGTAAAAGTACTACATTCAGATGTCTACTTAAGTAAAAGTACTAAAGTACTTGTTTTTAAAAGTACTTGAGTATCAAGAGTACAAGAGTAGATTTTCTAAGTAAAAGTAATAAAGTAATATAAAGTAATATTGCATTACTAATCTACTGCCACAGTGCTTACATTTATGCACAGAAACGTCCTACATGGAGTTATGAAAAATGTTAATGTTAATACCTTGGAGAATGTAAAAGGAATTGAAAGTAAAATCAAGTCATTTTCATCTTTTTACCATGTTGCTTTATTTAATTTAATTTAATTTTTTGGGGGTCCCATCTTTGGGGGTCCCAACCTGAACGAAATTCAGGTTAAAGAAAGGTTTTGTGTTT